GGGGATGAATATTACATATTACTTATTATCTCCAAACTGCCAGGGTTCAGGAGAAGAATTATATCGGGAGGATAATCCTATTCGAATAGGGTTAGATGGTCAGATGGTTAGGAATAATGTGTGATTATTCTCTGTGCTGGAAAATGAGATTCGGGAAACGGATGGGTTGGGAGGTATAGCTGATGTTGAGGTTTGGGGAGTGAGATGGTGTTATGGATTGGAATTTTGGGGTTGGTGGTTATGGTTGTTGGGGAGATGGTGAATGGGCGTGTGGAAGGTTTTGGGGGGTTTGTGGTGGGATGTTTGTTGTGTGTTGTTGTTGTTTGTTGTATTGTATATCTGGAAAGTATTTCTGAGGATGGATTGAAGTTTGGTAATGGATATGTTGAATATTGATGTTTTGCTATAAGGACCTAGGTAGGTAAGCTATGACATGGCTTTAGTAATCAATCTTTCTGGTACTTGTAGAATGCGGAATCTTTAGCTCGAACATTGGATTAGTGATTTATATAGAAAGTCGATGATTGGAGTTTTTGAGTGGAATGAAGATACTCTTGTTTATGTGTCTGATGGGTTTCATGGTTGATTTAGCTTATGATGGGTTGAGCAAAAGGTGTATTTTTGTGTTATTCAGTGCGATATTGTTGCTGGGGGGTGTTTGGGAAGAGGGCGAGGTGATATGATGTGTATATGCGAGTGAGAAGAAAAGTCGAATTATGTTGTATTTGGAGATTTGGTTTGAGAGTTTGGGGATAGGGGACCAGGATAATAGTTGGGAGGATTAGATCTTAGTGCAATTTGTATAGTTGGAAATATAAAGGGGTTTTTTGTATCGTGAATACAGTGATGAGTTTTCAGAAAGAGTCATTGTATGCGATGGCTATTGTTACTATTCGTGCTCCTACAAACAATCCACTGAATATGGTATAGGTTATTGATTGATCAACAATATCATCATTCAAGTTGATAAGGATGTACTTCCAAATACTCCTCTAACGTTGTCAATTTACCACGCGCATTCTCCACAGCCCACACAACTTTCTCCTCAGATCCCGGACCCCAATATCCAAATTCCTCACAGAAGCTAAAATACTCGGCAAACATCTCCGCCGCAAAAGACATACTACTCTTAAAAGCATCCTCGCTGACTTGTTTATAAACGATAATTTTCCCACTCGATTTCGACAATGCTGCGACAATTTCCTCCATTGTGTAAATTGTCACCGCGGCACAGAAAGTTTTCCCCTGATACTTATCTGGCTCCGCGAGAATCGCACCCACGAATTTCCCCGCATCACCCATCGCATCGAGTAGCGGAAACGGCATTTTCAAACTACCATGTCGAGACAAAACCCATGTCCCATCCGCCGCTGCTCGCGGAGCCAGAAAGTCTTGCGCTTGAAAATTCTGCATAAAGGAACCGAGCGAAATGAAAGAACTTTTGATCGCAAGACTCCGGATGTACTGCTCGATCTTGGCTTTTGCATCAAAAGCGGTGACTTTGGTGTATTTACCTTTGGAGAGTGAAGATATGTGAGGTAAGGTGCTGAAAATTATATATTGCACTCCCATCTCGATAGCTACGTCGACAATGGTTTTACCGTTGTGGTATTCGATTTCTACTGCGTTGGGACTGAAATCGGGAAGAGTCATGATGAATACGGTATGTACGTTTGCTAATGCTGCGCGGAGCGAATGGGGATCGGTGATGTCGCCGTGAATGAGGGAGATTTTCTCGGCGAGCTTTTGGGATGCAGGGGAGGTGGTGTTGCGAGTTATGCCTCGGATGGTGTATTGTTGAGATAGGGATGGGTCGTTTAGTACGTGGTGAATGATGGAGCTTCCTTGTTGACCGGTGGCTCCAAAGACTGCGAGGATTTTGGACATTGTGTTTGAGGTGTGTGTTTTTTGGAAGATAAGTTCTCGAAATAATTGTTTTGAAGGAAGTTTACGGGATTTGGTGATGGTGTTCAATATTACAGATGCTTTTCGTGCTCTTATAGATGTGTAAGTAACTAGACACAACCATGCCCTCTAGGCTCTAGCCTCCTTCCAATCCTGAGTTGGTGTTCTAATTCCAGAAATAGTCTAGCGTGAAGCTACTCGCTTGTTCGCTTTCAAACATGATTGGCTGTTTGTAACTGCACCTGGTTATTTAGTGCTTACAGATCACGAAAGTGGATCGGTCATTCTACTTACCAATCCATCTTCACGACTATTAGTTATCGGAAGCTCGCATCTTCGCATCTTCGCATCTTCGTTTTCTAGTGTATCTCAGGAGTAATCGATAGATAATGACTCCAATTCATAACTTTGATGGAATCTGTTAGTACTCCTGTTCTACGGCAACCCGGAGTCCCTTTGCTAAGGAAATCTCACTCTGGGTGTCGTGACTGTAGAGTTCGTAAAGTGAAGGTAGCTTAATAAATCAATGCTAAAATATTTGCTAAGATGATTTCTAGTGCGATGAAATAAAGCCCATCTGTTCCAATTGTCGACGACGATATATCAACATTTTCCAATGTGATTGGAGTACGGGCTCCCAGAAGTCCAAGAAGTCAGCAGTGCAGCGTTTTTCAACGTCCATTATACCTGCACCTAGTTCTAGCCTCGAAACACACCCAAACACCCTAGCAGATACAACAAGCCCATGGCGATCTCTAGAACTCCGCTTAATGTACCATTACAGTACAATAGTGAGTAATCTCATGCCCGCCTGCCTAGGCGCTCCAGCGCGCGCATGGCAACACACCATTCCGCAGCTCTCTTTCGATTCCGAAATCGTGCTCAATCCCATGCTCGCGCTCTCGGCACTCCATCTGCATACATATACACCCCATGATTCTCTTCTAAGTATTGCATTAAGACGCTATCTCGATCGTACACTTGTGAATCATCGGCAAGCGCTTTCAGAAGGCGAAGAACTCTCAGAACAGCTTTGGCTTTCGGCGATTTTGTTGTGTCATGTTTATTGGTTGCTTTCGCGTCAGAAACAGAAAGATGAAGAGTATGAGATACCGGTTCAAGCGATCAGGATGTTGGAGGGTGTGAATGTAGTGTTTAAGCAGAAGAGAAGGTTACTGGATCGATTGGGATATGCTCCGTATAAATTTGAAAGCTTGCCTAGCGTTTTATCGCAAGATGAGCTATCTAGAATTGCAAAATTCCGAATGAGGAGAATAGAAGAAGATCTCGATCACTTGGTAAATGCATTTTCCATATCCACGGAATCCGAAACTATTCAAAGTGTCTATCTGGAAGCGAAAGAATCAGTACTATTTCACTACCGAGCATTTTTCTCCGGTACGAGTGCGCAGATTCTGAGACGTATGGTTACGGTTATGCCGGCTAGATTTCAGTTGGATTTTCGTGTATTACTTGAACATCATGATCCTTTGGCAATGGCATTATGGGCGAGAGGGTTGGTTTTGTTGAAGGGATTGGATGATACGTGGTGGGTTAATGGCGGAGGTGAATATGAAGTTGTGGAGAGGGATGTGAGGGGTATGAGGGGATTGATGCCGGAGAAGTTTCGGTGGACTATGGATTGGCCTTGTAAAGTTTTGGATGGGGAAATTGTGTTGGAGAGGTGAGGTTAATAGGTCTGGGCTAAAGAGGAGGGATGAAACGGAAATAATGATTGCCATCAGGGTTCGATACCAGTATTCTCTCTTAAGTATTTGATGTTTATAGGGTAAGAAACTGAAAAGAATATCGAGGGTTATCCCTAGTCTATTCTGTTCTCTGTCTTTTAATAGTATCACAAGCGTTGCATCACAAGTTTTCCATGATTTTACTGATCTTAAGATAGTATTGGAGTGCTTTCCAGTATAAGATAAGTCTACCTACTGGATAATCAAGCTCTTGAAATTCTTCGCACAACACAACATATTTCCTGCGCCTCCTTCAGCAATCAAACCCACATTAACCTCTCTTAAAAACCTCCACATTCACTCTCCCCAAAGCTCCATCATCATGGTTCCAAGGGTGAACATCTATATGATATCTCCCGTCAATCTCATGATCCTGAATTTGGAAGTCATTGCCCCCGACGAAAGGATCACTCCAAAACAATTTAAAGATCTTGGTTTGTCCATCATAGAGTTCGATAAAGCCTTCTGTACCATCCATCGAACCTAATTTTCCACAGGCGGAAATTCCGACCTCGCAATGGGGCGGGGCAGTAATGTTGTTCATATAATGCGGTTGAATATCATAGTTTTTGTCCTCGTTGTCGTGGAATTTTCCGCTAGCAGTGAACATTGTTTTGAGAGAGACAATGAGCCATGAGAAACTTTGACAGTGACGTGTAAAATCAGGAGGGGTTGTGGGAGTTCATTACTATTTTAGATTTCCGTTCATGATTTTGATACTATTGTCCGGCCCAGTAGTATTTTTGATATTGAGCACAACGAAATTTTCATATCCATTCATGATTGCAAGTGACTGGGTTTTACTAGATAACCATGAGTTAGAACTTTGCTGAAATGAATAAAGGATAGGTGACGAACTTGCGTGCTGCGTGATTGAAGATATATGAAGATTTGAAAGTTGAGCTTGGGATTTAATGTGATGAGCCTGAATTTCGCTGTTGCTCCCACACGTCGGCATAAGCTCCGACAAATCATTCACAAGAAGCTTCTATACGTTCATCCGGCCACCTCAACAGTACGCTCCTAGGTCCTAGGGATAATAGACTCCCACATCTGTATCACAGAGATTGCCTCTACAAGATATTTCCGCGAGTTAGTGACATTGAATCTCGCGATATAATGTGTAAATTGCTAAGTGAAGGAGGTTACCAACAAGGGCTTTGTGTATAAACTCGTTTTAGCTACAAATGAGAGATTATTCAACTGGTTAGCTATGCTTCTTGCAATCAAGACACCTGAAGTTAGATATAATGATTTACCTCATGATGATCTGAACTTGGGTATAGCATCGTTTTCTACTACTTTAGAGTCAAGGGAGATATTCCTGGTAGCTAGCTCAATGAAGTCACAAAAAATTTATACAGCTTGGCTTGAAGCATATGTTAATTTTAGAAAGAACAGACATCATTTCAAGTGACATGTGTCAGGATTAGGTTCTGATATTTAGTGATGCGACAGGCTCAATTGCTAGGATTGGGCCCAATCTTCTTGTAACGAGCGACCCAGATACCTGGCGGAAAGTCCTTGGGTTCGCTCGAATTACGAACGAGGTTCATGGTTCGATTGTCTGAGGATTGATTCTCATCGTGCAATTTTGATCACCGAGCGTGACAGAAGCAAACACAATGCGCTACGATACCAGATGGCAAGTGGTGTAAGAAACCTTCTGCCAAAATTTTACAGCAACCGCGCACAGCTGTTCGTCGGTTTCAAAAATCACACCAAAAATGATCATTTTGCTCTATTTATATAAATATAAATAAAATATTCAGAATATATAATTCTCTTGATTTTAAAACATAAGAATATTTTAATTTAAAAAATTGAATTTAAATAAAAAAAAGTTTTTGATTTTCGCTTATTTTACTAGTATGTTTCAATGTTTTCAAATTATATTAATTTTCTTTATAGGTTTTATAATAAATAAAAACCTTGAAAAAAAACTATATAATTTTTATCAAATTTTAATTCAAAATGAGTAGAATTATATGAAATTTATCAGATAAAATCTATACTATTATTGAAAAATATATAGATAATTTATATGAGTTTTGGTGTGATTTTGGTGTTCGGCAAACAGCTGTGCCCTAATACTATATGAGGAAATGACTGATTAGATCTTGAGTAGTATGATGGCAAGGATATTGAGGGACTGGAAGCTACCATAGACAACAATATGAGAGAGTGGATCGCATACATAGAACATAACTCCATATCAACCTCCCAAGCCATGAAGTCATAAAGCCATTTGACATTGCACGAAGCATCCAATGGCTCGATTTTGATCTCATCTGCCAGCTATGCTTCGGGCATGGGTTTGGCTTTATCGCGAACCACAGTGACCGCTACGACTTTCAAAAAACTCTCGATGAGAGACTTCCAATAGTGGAACAGATTGGGGTTCTGGCAGAATTTGGTAGCATTCTCAGATTCATCTCCGGAGTTCTTTTCCTCAATCAAGTATTGCCATCAGCGAAAGACAAATCTGGCGTTGGAAAGATTCTGGGAGTAAGTCGTACCTATTTAAATTCTTATCTTTGCGATCAGGATTCCCACTAAGGATATAAAGCTTACTCGGACTACTATCGATGCTTGTTACATGTCCGATTTCGTGCCCCGCAAAGACTTACTAGCAGCCTGGCTAGATCGAGGAATGGATCGTTCTCAAGCCGAGACCTAAATGGTCATAGCACTGTAAGTCATATGCCAATCGCTTATGATAAGCGTTGCTAACAATTCTCAGTTTCGCAGGATCCGATACGACTGCCACAGCTACACTTAATTTAATAATGTGTTTCTAAAAAAATAAGCGATTTTTTGTAAGAGTTCTGGAACCTACTTACCGCACATGTAATGCTTTTCCGGCTAAAATATACGATTATTTAGTTTTTCATATCCTGGTTTATTTATAGATATTGTGAGCGAAACTTGGTACTGGTCACGTGACCTCTTTCTGTAGCTAGTATTTATAGGTCTCCTTTGTGTAGTTTAAAGAAAGTATCAGTTCCCACCCACCTTCTTGTATGCTTTGTAATACGCTATGTAGAGCCTATTCCTCCTCTTCTTCGTTAAAGGCGCTATGTCTCAGTGACTTATCTGTAGTATCTACGAAGGACTACTTTACGACCCTACCACCTTCTACTCTTTTACAATATATAGAATAAAATTGAATATAGTATTATAAAAAGATTCAGAATTACTTAAAGTATCCAAAAAAAAATTATTTATTTTTAAATATTTTTATAATAGTATTTGTAAAGGGTTAAAGTTAAAAATTAGAAAATTTTCGAAAAAATCGCTTATTTTGTATGAGAAAAGTATTACAAGTTAAAAATTCTGAACTTTTTCAATTAAAAGCCTATATAACTTTTCAACAAAAATATTTAAAAATAAACTAGAAATTTTTATATAAAAGAAATGATTTGCATTATTCACTAAAAAGTTTTTATAATTGAATATCGATAATTGAATTAATCATAAAGTATTTTAATTTATATAAAAAAACATAGATTTTATAGGGATTTTGTTACATTTGTTACAGGGGTGCGGTAAGTAGGTTCCAGAACTCTTACCTTATCAATTTTGAAATTTAATTTCAATCACTTCTAAACTTATCAATATATCTTTAAACTGAATAAACTCTTTAAAATAATTAATATCTCAATTAAAAGAATTAATATATAGTTTTATAAATATATTAAAGGAATAATTGTAAAATTAAAGGTAATTAGAATATAAATTCGATTTTGAAATTGAAAATTAACATATTTTCAAACTGTTTTCAAACTTTTGCTTTAAAATTTCCAATTCGATTTATAATGATTTGAAATAATCAAAAATTATATGAATAATATAATTCATTATTCTCTATTATTTGATCAAGTTTTCAATTGAATTGAATTCGATTAATAAAGATATTATAAATTGAAATTAGAAAATCTAATATTTAGATGTTTTTAATAAAGCATTGGAATTTAAGGTTTTGGAAATACGTTATTAAATTGAGTGTCCTTCTTTACATCATCACATCACCACCCGTGTACACACGTCTAATCTCAGAATTTGTGCTGCGTACAAAAATCAATCTCAATCGGAACTTGCATCATATGCAACAGCCAGAAACCTTCCATATCTTCACGTTTGTATTAAAGAAGGATTAAGACTCTTCCCGCCAGTCACCGCACTGCGTCAGCGTGTAACTCCACCGGAGGGTGATCTACTTGGGGGAATACATGTTCCAAGCGGAGTTGACATCGGAGTGAATATAAGGGGCTACTAAGACACGAAGCAACCTTTGGGATTGACGCAGATATGTTTAGACCAGAGCGGTGGTTAGAGAGTACACAACCACAGCTTCGTCAAATGGAACGAGTGCATGAGCTACTTTTCAACATGGGTACCACGCGCTGTCTGGGTATAAATTTGGCAATGATGATGATGCACAAACTCTTTGCTGAGGTTTTCCGGCGGTGGGATATTATAATCGTGAATCCAACCCGCCCTTGGGATAGCAGGTGTCATGGTGTGTTTCAGCAAAAAGACTTATTTTTTCGCATCACATCTCGGTCAGTTCATATTGATGATAAGCCAACTTAAAGTCTGGTCAGTTACGTTTGTGTCTTGAGCGATAAGGAAAATTTTGGTGGCACGTTCTAAGGTTGTGGCCACATTGATGGAAGAACACGCGAGATTTGAAGCCTCTCGTCGAACGTTTCGACTTATAAGAGTTAAATGCAAGCTTATAATTTAATTAAAATACTTCGTGCATGCTTTTTCAGAGTTAAAATTCTTCCTCTTTACTTCGATGAAACGTAACAGCTCAAAAAGAGCTCGATATTTTGTTGAGAGAACATTGTTCCATGCCGGAGCCGTAAGGAATTAGTCACGCTAGGCTTTGTCACAAAAGACCCTCAATTTGAAGGAACAGCTACGGTACACATGTCAGAACTCGGGGAAAAACCCATCATGCTACTCAAAGTAAAGATAAGCTCTTTTCTAAAATTAAAATAAAGAAATCGAATAGCCACTACGGTCTACCTGTCCTATTTACCAACACTCTCTAACGTGATATCTTGAAGCCACCTGGGACACCAGTCTGGAAAAAGCCCTCGGGATCATACTTCTTGCTCACTGCTTGCAAACTACTCTTCATATCATCACCATATCCACTGATCGGATCCTGATAGCCCGCCGAGTAATTGACATACTTGTAGCGATTGAACAACCCTGCAATCTTACTGGACTCGTCAACTTCCTCGATAAATCTTCTAGCCGTTCCATCTATACGTTCATCGTCAGATTTATCTTCCCACGAGTAGGTCAATATGCACAGAACAAGGGAGCCCTGCGAAGTATCAAGACCTGTTGAGTTGCCTCCAGATGCCATCGATTTGGTAGTAATTGAGTTGTGGAGACGCCAATATGTCAGCGTCCATCGCATACCTTTGACATCCTCCACAGAGGTAGCCGCACTTTTGAAGAGAGTGTACACGTCCTGTAAGTGAGCAACAGAAAATTGGAAGGAAGTAGTAGCAAAGATCTGACGAACTCCCTTGGTTTGCATTTTCTGGATGTCTCGGGCAGTTTCCCCGAGGGTCGAGATCTTCATTGTATTTCTGTATTGAGGCTTGATATCCATGAAAGGTTTGAATACGGCTGGATCGCTGTCTTCTTTGGTGTATTCAAAGTTTGATGCAATAGTGAATTTCGTTTGAGGTGAAAATGTGATACTCAGCTTCATCGACGCATATGGATCCCAATCGTTTTTCATACTATTGAGTGCCCTGAAGTTATCATCTAAGGTGGAGATTGGGTATACGACTATCCCGGCCCATTGTTTGCCTTGTGAAAAAGTTCTCATGTCGAATCGGGTTACAATTCCAAAGTTATTGCTTCCTCCCTTGAGTGCAGTCCAGAGGTCTGAATTCGCATTGGCATTGGCATTGATGATGTGACCATCTGCAAGAACTACCTCGAAGTTTTCAACCATATCGCAGCACATGCCATACCTTGGCGAAGAAGAAGAGAAGCCTCCTGCGATTTGTGTCAGTACACAAGCATTTTAAAGCAAGAAAAAAGGAACGACGATACGTACCTCCAAGAGTAAATCCTCCAACCCCTACATCATAGACATGGCCCCCAACTACAGACAACCCCAAAGCATCAAGCTTGTCATATACTTGACCCCAGATAGCACCTCCTCCGACTGAGACAATATCCTTACTTTCATTTACTTCAACGGTGTTAATTTTTCGCAGGTCAATTGTGATACCATTGTCAATATTAGCGCTGCCTGCAAACGGGCTATGACCGCCTCCTCTAACAGCCAATTTTGTAGCAATATCAGACGCAGAATTTATGGTTCTCAAAGACTTTAGAACCTGGGCGACATCTTGAGCAGATTTAGGGGCGATGATGTAAGATGGTTTCGGCTGTGCCTCCTGGAGAGTAAAATAAGATTTCAAAGAAGCGTCATAACCATCACTATCAAGCTCAAAGACTTCTCCTTCGAGACCTTGTACAATTGTGGAAAGAATTGAAGACATAAATTTGGTTGCGATTTGTAACCGGTTGATGAGGAGAATGTAATTTGCAATGAAGAGTCTTGAGGAAATTTGGGCGAACTCGAATTGAAATATCTTGAAGAGTCTATAATCGGATGTGCAACATGACTCGAAGTGGATAAGAAGAGACTAGTCTCTTTCTAAATTAAGAGTAACGACATACAGTTCTAGAGAATGAAAACGCTTTGACTTGATTGTCTTATTAGTCAAGCCATCAATCAAATAAGCAATTCATTTCCAAAATCCCAATCGGATTTAGAACGTATTCGGATCGTTTTATTTGAATGAGTAGATATAAATCATTTACTAAATAAGATCAAATAAAATCTGATGATAAGTTTATCAAGTACTCGAAATGGTAAAATCAATTGTTAAAAAACTATTTGTTAAATAATTAAATAAATTATAATTCAATTATTATTTAATTAATCGAAATAATTTCATTTTAAACAAACTTTTTATTTTTTTCAATTATTTCGATTGTTTAATAAATTATTTTACTAAGAATGAGTTATCAAATAATTAGAAGAAAAAAACGACCTGAACGCACCCCTAATCGGCAGTGTAGGCAATAGTATACTACAGTGAAACTGTGGCGCGTATTAGCATATTGATATTACAGCTAGTACGTATAGAAAGGAGGTTATATCACTCTCGTATATATTCATATGCCTAAAGAATACTAGCAATATACTGAAATACTGGAATCCAATATAAAATATATATTCCTTATTCAAATTAGGTTAGAAATAAGGGATTCCCATTCAATTTGAAATAAGGAATGGAATTTTATTACTTAATATGAATAGAAATCCCTTTTTCTAGTTTAATTAGGATAGGAATGAATATTTTATATTGGATTCCAGTATTTCAGTATATTGCTAATAGTATTGAATAACTAAATAATATTGAATACTTTCAATAATATCGAATTCCATACTACATACGTATATATTTCGAAAAAAACTCTATACACACCACTATCTAACCCGTATACGGATTACGGGAAATACTATTGCCTACACTGCTAATCGGCAGCATTGGCGTGAGGAGGACGTAGAGAGGCTAGTTGGTAAAAAAAAATCTTCTCGTCAACATTTGGTCACCGTTGGAAGATTGTGCATTGCCATTCATGTGGATATACAGTAGAGTGATGATAGTCTTGAAGCATGTTCCGTGGCCCCTCTCATTTTCTACATTATGTTGCTTACCTAGTGAACTATTCCATAAAAGTAACAATTGCGCCGGGTATCTGATTCTTGAAGCCTATGTGTGCTTGTGAAATTCCCCAACCGTGCCCAACTTTACACATCACCCCGGCCCCTAACAAATTTACGCACTAGTAAACACTAACTGCGGCGTAGACGTTGCATCGCATTGTGGGAATGGGAAGGGATAGGGTTAGGAAGTGGGGAAATAAAGTAAGACCAAATGTTAGTAAAGCTCTCTCAGGAGAGAAAGCCCAGGGCACCAAACTCACCAAAATGACCCCTCGTTTAGAAATCCATCTATTCCAGAATCAAATAGCAATTTGGAACACATCTTGGATTAACTAAAATTGAAACCAAGTCCCGATTCTATTAAATATCAATACAGTTAACTAAATACATAGTTAGACAGAATTATTTGATATAGAATTTTGGAAGGGAGCGAATTGTCGGTTTCGCGTTTTTCTTCCATCCTGATGGTCAGAAGGTTCAAATTGCCCCACTTCCACCCATGTCTTAAACCATCCAGAGCGATCAGAGAAGTGTAACACCATTTTATTGCTCAAAAATAGCATCTAGAATCGATGTTCGGGCAGCCAATCAAATCAGCGTAATCATTTTATTAATACCATGCACTATTTCCGTCGTTTTGTACAAATATGATAACTTCTATTATTTATAATCACAAGCGATACGCTAATTAATTTCGCGAACTAATAGTCGGCTCTTATAAGCGGGCCGACTAGTTTCTGATCAGAGAAGGCAAGTGTCCCCGGAAAGCGAATGTTCTCGCTAGTGTTCTTGGTAAGGAATACATCAGAATAATAATTTAGTATATGAAATCTTTTGTTTTAATACAAAACTATCAATCTTAATAAGATTTTAAAACCAAATATATATTTCGATTCAACAAGATTAGAGCAATCTAAGAATATCAGAAGTTCTATAATAGCTTCGAAACTAATCAGATTATATGGATTTTTGTTGGCCGAGAAAATTAACTTTCCAGAAACACTTCCTTCCCTGACTAGAAACCAGTCGGCCGCTTATGAGAGCCGACTAGGACTCTTAATTCCTTTCAATCACCTTTGCTTATAGAAGTTCATTCTATCCCTACAGAAATGTATGACTGCATAAAAAACATGTTTTCAAGATATGTGATGCCCGTTGAAGAACGAGATAAGGTTTGATATCGATCCTATCTTAAACATCTGATACAACCGCTCGTTTAATTTCCGCCACTCATATAGCTTCATCTACACATCAAAATCTCTATCTCACCTACCTCCAAAGAATTCATGGATCACACCCAATGCTGAAGGTAGCACTTGTATAGATATGCGGGGGTCAAATATACTGAAGTACCTCATAGAACTTAACTTTCTAATCAAAGATGCAAGCCATCGTGTAATTATAGCTTATTTTCTTTCACATATTAAACAGATGTTCTGCTTAATTGAAACTAAAAGCGACTTTAGCCCAATTTCAATACAACTTCTAGTGTAGGTGTAAAGTGAGAACTTGCAAATTCTATTTTCACTCAAGAGGCGTAGTATTTTGGGGGTTCATCAAAGTATTGCTGTGCAATAGTATGGCGAAGTTTGACGACGTTGCTGTTTTTGAATAGTAGGACAACTTAAGTCCCATAAATAGTGAATGTTTCTCGTATGTTTGCATCTCTTCAAGACCAGATATTTCTCTGAATCTTCTACGTTGATTACATCTTTACTTAGCCATGTCCGCAACAACATCTTTAAGTTCCGCGGCAAGTTCTGCCCAAGCCGCTGCTATTGCCGCTATCACGGCCACGATGCTATCGGAGCCC